GCCATAAAGGGATGGACATGGTCAGAAACAATGCTCAGGTAGGCCGTGGCATTTAAACGATGCCCAATTGGCACTAAGGGGCCTAAAGTGTGCCAAGAAAACATCCCCCACACCATTACACCACCACCACCAGCCTGCACAGTGGTAACAAGGCATGATGGATCCATGTTCTCATTCTGTTTACGCCAAATTCTGACTCTACTATCTGAATGTCTCAACAGAAATCGAGACTCATCAGACCAGGCAACATTTTTCCAGTCTTCAACTGTCCAATTTTGGTGAGCTCTTGCAAATTGTAGCCTCTTTTTCCTTTTTGTAGTGGAGATGAGTGGTACCCGGTGGGGTCTTCTGCTGTTGTAGCCCATCCGCCTCAAGGTTGTGCGTGTTGTGGCTTCACAAATGCTTTGCTGCATACCTCGGTGAGTGGTTATTTCAGTCAAAGTTGCTCTTCTATCAGCTTGAATCAGTCGGCCCATTCTCCTCTAGCATCAACAAGGCATTTTCGTCCACAGGACTGCCGCATACTGGATGTTTTTCCCTTTTCACACCATTCTTTGTAAACCCTAGAAATGGTTGTGCGTGAAAATCCCAGTAACTGAGCAGATTGTGAAATACTCAGACCGGCCCGTCTGGCACCAACAACCATGCCACGCTCAAAATTGCTTAAATCACCTTTCTTTCCCATTCTGACATTTAGTTTGGAGTTCAGGAGATTGTCTTGACCAGGACCACACCCCTAAATGCATTGAAGCAACTGCCATGTGATTGGTTGATTAGATAATTGCATTAATGAGAAATTGAACAGGTGTCCCTAATAATCCTTTAGGTGAGTGTATATATGTCACGAAACTGCACAGAAACACGACGGTTAAGATCCAAATGCAGCTTTAATAGGGACAATCCAGACACGTAATCCAATAAACAGGCAATGGTCAAATACACAGGTAGGCAGTCCGAATGAACAAACAAACAAAACAGGCAAAACAGGCAGGGGTCAGAGGCAGAAGAATAATCCAAGGAACAGGCAAAAAAATCCAAAAACCGGGAGACAGGAAACCAGGGAGAAACGCTCGGGAATGCAGTGTAACAACATACAAAACTTTGCAGTGAGTGAATGTGAAAACCAGGCTTATAAGGGGTGAGCTAAACAAGGTAATGAGACACAGGTGAATGCAATCAGTGATGAGTCCGGGAGGGAGGTGGAGCGGAGGTGGAGTGGAGACGGACCTGGGGGCGGGATGGAGGGCCAGGCCCATGGAGCGGAAGAGGGCCTGGAGACTGAGGCTGGACAGACGGCCAGGGTGGAGCAGGCTGTGTATGCGACCAGGGCGGATCAGGCAGTGCAGGCGACAAGGGCGGAGCAGACAGCAGCTCAGAAACAGACAGAAGCTCAGGAGCAGACAGAGGCTCAGGAGCAGACAGCGGCTCAGGAGCAGACAGCGGCTCAGGAGCAGACAGCGGCAGAGGAACAAAGGAAACATACATTGGTTTAGGAACAGACACTGGTTCAGGAACAGACGCCGGAATGGCCATCTTGTCCGGGGACACAGGCTCGGCGGAGGCCATCTTGTCCGGGGACACTGGCTCGGCAGACGGGACGTGAACAGTCTCTGGCTCGGCAGACGGGGGACGTGAACAGTCTCTGGCTCGGCAGACGGGACGTGAACAGCCTCTGGCTCGGCAGACGGGACGTGAACAGTCTCTGGCACGGCAGACGGGACGTGAACAGTCTCTGGCTCGGCAGACGGGACGTGAACAGTCTCTGGCTCGGCAGACGGGACGTGAACAGTCTCTGGCTCGGCAGACGGGACGTGAACAGTCTCTGGCTCGGCAGACGGGACGTGAACAGTCTCTGGTGCGGCAGGCACGACGTGAACAGTTTCTTGTGCGGCAAGCACGACGTGACCAGTCTCTTGTGCGGCAGGCACGACGTGCCCAGTCTCAGGTTCGGTGGCCCTGACGTGAAGCAGCTCAGGCTGGGCAGGCGTGACGTGAAGATCAGGCTGAGCAGGCGTGACGTGAAGATCAGGCTGAGCAGGCGTGACGTGAAGATCAGGCTGGTCAGGCGTGACGTAAAGATAAGGCTGGTCAGGCGTGACGTGAAGATCAGGCTGGTCAGGCGTGACGTGAAGATCAGGCTGGTCAGGCGTGACGTGAAGATCAGGCTGGTCAGGCGTGACGTGAAGATCAGGCTGGTCAGGCGTGACGTGAAGATCAGGCTCGGCAGGGCTGACGTGGATATACTCAGGAGCAGGCGTGACGTGAAGATCAGGCTGAGCAGGCGTGACGTGAAGATCAGGCTGGTCAGGCGTGACGTAAAGATAAGGCTGGTCAGGCGTGACGTGAAGATCAGGCTGGTCAGGCGTGACGTGAAGATCAGGCTGGTCAGGCGTGACGTGAAGATCAGGCTGGTCAGGCGTGACGTGAAGATCAGGCTCGGCAGGGCTGACGTGGATATACTCAGGAATGGTGGCCACCTCGGGACATGGCTCTGGAACGGCAGTCTCGGCGGGACAAGACCCAGGAATGGCGATCTTCTTGGCCCTTCGCGCTGACATCAGTGGTGGCTGTGCCACGGTGGACCTCAGTCCTGGACACCCATAGACCGATCTGATGGCAAGCTTGATGGCTGGCGTGACATGAAGATCAGGCTGAGGGGATACTGCGGGTTCACGGAGCTCCTTCTCCTCCACGCCCACAGTAAACGATGAACCGCTCAACAACAGGGCCAGGTCAATATATTGTTCTAATGTCCCGTGAGGATCATGGTCGGGCATCAATAACCTGAGCGGTTCAGATAGTCCTCCACGGAAAAAGATCATCTGGCACTCTGTGCTCATTGAGGTGAGATGTCCAGTTCAATAAACTCTCCGACATATTCTTCAATCGACCGATTCCCCTGACGGAGACACGGGATTTGGACTTCTGGACTCATAATTCGCATCGCTGCTGGATCTCAGTGTGGCGAAGTTTTCTGTCACGAAACTGCTCAGAGACACGACGGTTAAGATCCAAATGCATCTTTAATGGGGACAATCCAGACACGTAATCCAATAAACAGGCAAAGGTCAAATACACAGGTAGGCAGTCCGAACGAACGAACGAACAAACAAACAAACAAACAAAACAGGCAAAACAGGCAAAACAGACAAAACAGGCAAGGGTCAGAGGCAGAAGAATAATCCAAGGAACAGGCAAGAAATAAAAAAAACGGCAGATAGGAAACCAGGGAGAAATGCTCGGGAATGCAATGTAACAACAACATACAAAACTTTGCAGTGAATGAATGTGAAAACCAGGCTTATAAGGGGTGAGCTAAACAAGGAAATGAGACACAGGTGAATGTAATTAGTGATGAGTCCGGGCAGTGAGTTATGGGAAATGTAGTTTGTGAGGGAGTGATAGTCTGTGTGGAGTGCCCTCTCCTGGCTCTCAAGGGCACTCCGGCTGGTGACCGTTACAATATACTATATATATAAGATCATTTAAAAAGTAAATTAAAAGCTTGAATATGTCCTTTTTAAGGTAGGGTCGTGGGGAAGACGAATTGCAACAGTAAATGGGGGCTACCCAAGATAAGAATAATCACTTAATATTTTTTTTTTAATTACCTGAACGAAAAAGAAAAATAAACAATGCATACAAATAAATACATAAAATATAATTAAAATACACACAAGGGATTAGTCTTCGAAGAACGCTAGTTCTCTCAAGATATCTCTAAAACAGTTTTCAAGTCAATTTGGAACAAGAAACTTAAAATTCTTCCTCTCGTTTTCCGCCAAAATAAAAGCTCGTTGATTAACGCGTGACAGTGAAGAAATAAAGGTAAAAATTAAATATATGACTATATTATCAATAGTGTATTTTAAGATATTTTATTTATTTATTTATTTTTATTTAGATAGGAAAAGATTAAAGACAATCGGGCCTGACTCAGTATAAAACTGATTTTCAGCAGGTTCCTGTTCTGCAGAACATAAATACCCCATACACAACAGAATAACAAACACACAACAAACACCCAAACCCCGAGAGTAAACACAAGCATCAAGATATGATGATAATAATAATAATAACTGAACTGAGCAAAGTGAATTAAGAAATATTCTCAAGAATATAGAGCGTGAACAAAACATTCAATTTGAGACAGTTGTAATACAAGCCTGTAAGCATAAGAAGTATATGTTAATGTATAAGAAGTATATGTTATATGTATGTGTTTTATAATATGTGTTTTAAGAGCGACAGATTAAATTTAAATATTAAACATAATATAACACATAACATATAACATATAACATATAACATTTAACATATAACATATAACATAACGTAACATCAAACAAGCTGTATATAGCCACCTATCATTCTGGGAGTATCCCATGAGAAGAGAGTGGAGCGCTGTCCGCGGTGCTGAAAGGGCGAATCTCTTGGAATATCAATTTCTCCTGTTTCTCTAGGCTACTGCTCGAAGACTGTCAGATTATATATGTTATTAGGCGTAGCATACATGAAGCAAACTAGAGTCCCATGGTGTGCTTGTTAATTTAGAGTGCGCTATTATTTTGAGGACCTTGAATCGTTCTATTTAACATATTTGTTACCATCCATTTACTTTGTCTCAATAATTTCTTTTTTTTAATGGGTTTTGGCAGTTTCAGAGATTTCCTCTTTAGTAATTTGCACAGTGATGTCCAATGAACTTGTCTGCAGGTTGTAAACTACTTTGATTTTACTTTTAAAATGTGTAGACAGACCATAAAGTGTGTTTGAGGGGAGGGGAAGGTATTTAATTGCCTCCATAGACCTATTTCAATAGCGTAATGAGCACAAAACCGCACTAACATGCTGTTTATTTATAGTATAAAATATGAAATTAGGATAATCTAAAAAATGATTTGAAAATCCACCCTCGGAAATAATTAAACGGAAACAGGAAAACAAAACGCCACATGTCCTCCGAACTTCAAGTGGTGTGGTCCCTTTAAGATCTTCGTAATATTACGCATCTGCTTTCATATCAACGCTCGTCCTCCCTCACGAGGCTCTCAAACAAACCTCACGCACCAGAATCCCTCTCACTATCAGCAGCAGCAGCGGCATCAGCAGCACCAGCACCAGCACCAGCACCCGCCCCGTCGACTCGACTCGCCCTCCCGAGCAGCGGAGCACCGCTGTGGCGGAGTCCTTGACGGGGACGAGCACGGGTAAACACGGCAAAACACTGCTGTTTACATGAAGGCAAGCTGATTCTCGCCGGAAGGCTGCTACAAGGTAAATGTAAAACGTTTTTGTATTGCAGTATGTCATGCAAATCGTGCTGCATCTGTAGCGAAGGACTCCTTGTGTATGTCCCGTGTGTAGGACACACCAAGGACTGTGACGCGCCAGGTTCACGGTTTTTATCATATCTGGATGTACCGAGCAAAACGATATCTTACATTCGCACGCTAAATGATGTTTATTTGCACCGTGTTTGCACACATCTTTTTTTTTCCGGTGTTTAGATGTGCGCGCGCACAACAGATGATTCGCTGCAGCGAGCATGCGTGTCTATTTTGCGTTTGTTATGGTTTTGCCTCTTTTGCGCTTTCATACTGTGCTAATCCTAGGACTGTGTTTCATAACTTGAAATGTATCGTTTCCTAGCCCTGTAAATTGGTTTAATTTCTGATTTGGTTTCAGCACCTCTCGTGCGCTGTGAGTCGTGACAGGGACAGTGTAGTTTGTACGGCCTAGGGTACAGTATGACCTTGCATCCCTGTAAGGACTTGCCAAATTGCAGAGAAAGTGTGCCTAAAAGTGGATTTGTGAGGATCTAGAAAAATCATCATATGTAGTCTTTATCGCATCCAAGAAAGTTTACATAATTTAGAACCTATTAAAACCGGTCAAAGCAAACTGTACAGAATGTCTCAAGGTGCATCACTATTAATCTCTTTACTCTCTCTGGTATCACAATAATTATCACCATCTTCTTTGCAGGATGCTATTTGTTGCTCATTGACTTGCCATTGAGCCTGCATGCCTTGCGGTTGTGTAATGTCAGCATCCCGTCTGTCTGTCTCACCACATACACACCAGCAAGGAAAGCCAATCACACCACTTGTGGAGCTCACGTTCTAGTGTCTGTCTCCATGGTGACTGCTCTACATCCTCTCAGCATTCAAGCCAATCTTCCAAAACATTTCCTTACCACATTGGTTTCAGCCTACAAAGAGAGCACTTGATATATTTCACTCTGGGAGCCAGTGAAAACAAGTCACATATTAAAAATATATATTTAATTTCACATTTTAATTAAAAAATATTCAAATTAATATTCAAATATTCATATTTCTCTTAATTAAAACAAAGCTAAAATAAAATATAAATATTAGATGAAAAACTTTTAAAGGGGTCATGACATGAGATATCAAATTTGCCTTGATATTTTGACATACAAGAGGTCTTTGTTAAAATACCCTGCAAGTTTCAGAGCTTAACATTTCCTCTTCATTATAAACAAAGTATTCATTTAATCAAGCTCCAACAGCTTTATTAACATTATAAGTGAACCTCATGGAACATGTTAAAATATTTTTTTTTTTAAATCCATGTTACGACCCCTTTAACTAAACAAAAATTTGAAAAAATAAATTACAACTATTTACAAATTTTAGTCTAGCTCCCATTAGATTTAGGAAAACATAGGCAGGTAGGCTATACCTACTCATTTTCATTGTGAGTGGTACCAGATTTATTAAAGGAATAGTTCACCTAAAAACAAACATTCTGAAATTATTTATCTGTTGTTTCATTTCCAAATAGCATTTTCTTCTGTAACAAAAAAAAAAGTATTTTCCATACAACAATCATAGTGATCATGACTGTTTACTCAAGGATTTGTTTACAAATTAGACTGATTGTCTTCTGACTGTTTTCTCAATTCAAATAATATGAATGCATGTTATTTTAGAATTATTTATATACTGTTATTATATATTAATATTTTGAATTATCTTTTATTTAAAGATTTTTCTTTTTCATTTTAGATTAAGCTTTAGTAATTTCATGTTTTAAAAAAATATATATTTCTAATTAGCGTACATTTATTTTGTGTTTTAGTCATTTTAATTCTTCAACTACAACATTATATTTCAGTTAGTTAACATTTTTGAAGTTGCCCATCCAATATATAATGTTTTATTTCAGCTTTATTTCAATTAATAAAAACATTCTTTATAGTTTTAGTTATCAATAACATCACTGAAATAATGACTTAAATGTCTGTCTGTTCCTCACATGTGACTCCAGAAGTCTTATAGAGCATTTATGGATTACTTTATGGTGCTGCTTTTATATTTAGTTTTGTTGTTTTGCAGCTGGACAGTCATGGTCACTGTAAACTGTTTTTGTATGAAAAAGACCTAAGACTAAGTTGATAAACAGATCAATCTGTTGTGCTGCTTTGTTCTTTTCCATTATCATATATGCTTTATATTCAGGTCATAATCTGCTTGAGAGAAGCAAGCCACCAGTGTGTGATATTTGGTTATTGGAATTTTTTGAGAGGTACATTCTTTCTGCAGTGATACTCTATGGCCCAGTTTCACAGGCTTAGATTAAGCCAGAATTATGCCTTAGTTCAATTAGGGCATTCAAGTAGCTTTTAAAAACGTGCCTTTGAAAAAAAAACATTACGGGTGTGCATCTTGAGACAAAACAATAGCACTGACATATTTTGCAAGTGCAAGTTGCTTTCAGTTAAAACAGATCAAACATGCATTTTAGTCTGGGACTAGCTTATGCCTTGTCTGTGAAACCGGGGGTAAAAGGCTTGAATGTTGGCTGGGATAGAGAAAAGAAGTGCTGGGTCATAATAATCGCTCTTCTGCAGCTTTCTGCACATTTCATTCGACAGCAGACAGAGGTCGTCCAGTGCTGATGACACTGTAGCAGGGGCATGACGCAGCAGATTTCAACATCAAAATGTAACTGAATCACCAGTGAGCTGATTATACAGTATCTTTATTAAGCCTAACAAAAATTGTTTTAAAGAAAAATCCTCGCATAAAATAGCCAAAAAAAGTAATTACGTATTTCATGCATTATGCTGCTATACTATCTAAGCTACACTAATACTCACCTATGATATTTATGTTAGTTTGCAGTTGTGTGTTTGATAAGAAAGTGATAACTATACAGATAGAATAAACTGTGTGAGAGACTAAGACTCTAGTCTTCTGCATCGGTGCAAAGTTCAAGCAGATAGGATAGATTTAGCTGCTGCGCTCCTACATTATGACTCACACTGCGTCAGAGGGAGACCACACTGTCCCAATACTGACTCAGCGGTTGCACATTTTACAGCAAAATGTGCTAGGTTTCTGTTGTTTTGTTCATTTTTGTCACCCAACCAACCCCAAGTGTTTGAAAGGTCATGTCATCAAAGTGAAGGATTGAGTTGCTTATTTTTGTGAGTAGCTGTGTATTGCTGCTAATACTGAGCTGTGCCAGTGGCTTTTTAATTATTTAGATCATTAATCCCTCTTCTCTTCTCTTCTCTTCACCATGTGTCTTTGGATGCACTCTGTGGCAGAAATATCTTTTTTACACTCTTAGAAGCAAAGGAAGGCCTCTTCTATATAGAGTTTTACTTTTTTACACGTTCAACTTTCTTTAATGTGTAATGTTGCTGTTTGCGCATGAAAATGTCTGTAAAGTGACAAAGCACAAAGTTCAGTCCAAAGGGAGTTATTCTCTACATAAGTAAGCACTGCTTCCCTCGCACTTAGTTACAAATCCTTTCCTCGTGGGTCAAATTGACCCGAAGCCCTAAAATTATGTTTAGTCATTTCATTTCACTTTTGATAATAGTATTTTGATAGTGAAAGTATTCCTCATTTAAATAATTCCTGCTCAAGGCATGTGCAAAACAGAGACAAGGCCAAATTGAGTTGTGTTAGTAGTATATTGAAACAAGGGGCGTGACCTTTCCCGAAACACGCTCGAAGCAGACCAATCACAACACATTGGTCCAGACGACCAATCACATTGTAGCTTTTCGGAAGGAGGGGCTTCATAGAGACCAGAACTAAACATAGCGTTACTGACTGACTGGGAAGAGAGATGCTGCAATAGTGGAAAATAATGTAAGAAATTGTGTGGTTTTTGAACATTCAAGCATGATAATCTGTTCTAGTATACCCCAAAAACAAAATTAAGACTTTGAAAAAGGGCATAATAGGTCTCCTTAAAGGGTTCTGTCAGGCGCTTCATATATCAAACCTTTAAAGGGTTAGTTCACACAAAAATGAAAATGATCCCATAATTTACTCACCCTCAAGCCATCCTAGGTGTACTTTCTTCTTTCAGCTAAACAAAATTCTATAAGTTATATAAAAAAAATATCCTGGCTCTTCCAAGCTTTATAATGGGAGTGAATGGTACCCTAGATTTTGAAGCCCAAAAAAGTGCATCCATCCATCATAAAAGTAATCCATACGGGTCCAGGGTTTTAATAAAGCCCTTCTGAAGTAAAGAGATGAGTTTTTGTAAGAAAAAATATCCATATTTATAACTTTATAAACTATAATCACTGGTTTACGGTAACGGCCACACTCAAGTCGGAAGAGTGACCTCTGACCCGACGCATGACGTATTGATGAACGCGGAAGCACAGAGGATAGAGCAAAACAAAACACCATTAGAAATCTAAAATGAGAATTTTTAAATAGAAATGTTGGGTTTGTTGCCCAGCCATTACCGAAAGTAAGTGATTATAGTATATAAAGTTATAAATATGGATATTTTTCTTCTTGTTGGGCTTCAAAATCTAGGATACCATTCGCTCCCATTATAAAGCTTGGAAGAGCCAGGATATTTTTAATATAACTCCGATTGTGTTTGGCTGAAAGAAGAAAGTCATATACAACTAGTATTGCTTGAGGGTGAGTAAATCATGGGGATCATTTCTTTTTTAGGTGAACAAACTCTTTAAGGGGTTCCCATCATGGGATTATTTTATGGATTTAGTTGGCAAACATGTTAAACAATGTTAAATATCAAAGTATAATGCAACATTTTTGGCATAAAGGTTCTTTAAAACTGAGTCAAGAACTTTAGGGTTCTATATTGAACCCCACTGGACCATTTTTTCTCATTTGCTTGTTTGTCTGTTTCTCTCAATTTAAAAATGCTGCATCAGGAATGAAAACATTTTTTTTAGAGCTTCAGCCAGACCTTGATATCTCTGAGTAGTCCGAATGTGAAAGTTAAATCTCTATTACTGTATTTCTGTTGTCTGGCTTAGCACCAGCGCAGAGTCAGAGACCAGCAAGTCCGTGTCAGCACAATGTTAAATTTATTACAGCTCCGCAAGCAATGCTGCTACCAGGTCTGCTGAGTGTGAAGAGGTCAGATAGATTAAATGAAATGGGCAGATTGTTATGAGATAAAAAATGAGATTATGTGCAAATATTTAGTGGATGTCTCAAAGGGACAGTTCACCTAAAAGTGAAAAATGTATGAAATCGTTTACTCATTCTTTCCTCTGTGGATCGCAAAATGATTTTTTTTCCCAATTAAAACGTATCTTCTTTTATGCTCCACAGACCAAAGAAAGTCATACAGGTTTGGACCAACATGGAGGGTGAGTAAATGATAAAATAATTTTCATTTTTGGGTGAACTGTTTATTTAATAGTATTATAAACTTTTTATTTCCTTTTTGACTGTACCTTGGCTTCTTGTGACACTGCTGTTATGTAAATGAGATGAGGGTTAATTTATGGTTTGCTACAGAGAATCATTTCCTCTAGTCAAAATGACTTCATTGTCTGTGTTCTTGTATTTTATTCAGGCTGGCTGCAGCTGAGCCTTTCATCCTGTGTTGACAGGGAGGAGGACATATCCAGCTGAAGAAGGAGAAAGAAGGGAGAGGACTGCTGACTCCATGTCTTCGCCTTCAAATAAAAGATCTGGTTCTGGATCACGCAAGTAAGGCACATCTTTTGTCTGTCATTAATCTGCTTTCGACCCAACATTCTTTCAAACTTGCAGCTGTGTTGGTGCTTTGCTGTAATGTCTAACCCATGTAGCCGCTCTTAATCACACTAATGTCTCTGCTGCAGTTTAATGACCTTTTGAGCTTCAAGTGCTTCAATAATCCTCTCTCTCTCTTCTGCTGCTGTCATTAATACATCAGATGTTTAGCTCTTTCAATTTATCTCCCTGCTGTCAAGATTTTTTAACTGTAGCACCACAGATATCATATAAGACATGTCATTCCTTTGCACAGAGTAAAAAGTCTGGCATAGACTTACTAAAAAAAATAACAAATTCCACCAAATTATATAAGAAATATGTTTCAATCTGATTTTTCATGAAGCACAAGGATAAAGCAATATTTTTAATAAAATTACATCAGGTTCTTTTTTAAATAGTGTGCGTCTCTGAAATGTTGTCATGAGTAACTTTAAACTACAATACTACATACGGCTGTGTCTCACTTGCTTGCTTTCTTTTTCTTTTTTTTTATACTTTTTGAGCATTATTTTACATAAAGGTTGTAATAAAAAACTATACACTCACCTAAAGGATTATTAGGAACACCATACTAATTCTGTGTTTGACCCCCTTTCGCCTTCAGAACTGCCTTAATTCTATGTGGCATTGATTCAACAAGGTGCTGAAAGCATTCTTTAGAAATGTTGGCCCATATTGATAGGATAGCATCTTGCAGTTGATGGAGATTTGTGGGACGCACATCCAGGGCACGAAGCTCCCGTTCCACCACATCCCAAAGATGCTCTATTGGGTTGAGATCTGGTGACTGTGGGGGCCATTTTAGTACAGTGAACTCATTGTCATGTTCAAGAAACCAATTTGATGATTCGAGCTTTGTGACATGGTGCATTATCCTGCTGGAAGTAGCCATTAGAGGATGGGTACATGGTGGCCATAAAGGGATGGACATGGTCAGAAACAATGCTCAGTTAGGCCGTGGCATTTAAACGATGCCCAATTGGCACTAAGGGGCCTAAAGTGTGCCAAGAAAACATCCCCCACACCATTACACCACCACCACCAGCCTGCACAGTGGTAACAAGGCATGATGGATCCATGTTCTCATTCTGATTACGCCAAATTCTGACTCTACCATCTGAATGTCTGAACAGAAATCGAGACTCATCAGCAGGCAACATTTTTCCTGTCTTCAACTGTCCAATTTTGGTGAGCTCTTGCAAATTGTAGCCTCCTTTTCCTATTTGTAGTGGAGATGAGTGGTACCCGGTGGGGTCTTCTGCTGTTGTAGCCCATCCGCCTCAAGGTTGTGCGTGTTGTGGCTTCACAAATGCTTTGCTGCATTCCTCGGTTGTAACGAGTGGTTATTTCAGTCAAAGTTGCTCTTCTATCAGCTTGAATCAATCGGCCCATTCTCCTCTGACCTCTAGCATCAACAAGGCATTTTCGCCCACAGGACTGCCGCATACTGGATGTTTTTCCCTTTTCACACCATTCTTTGTAAACCCTAGAAATGGTTGTGCGTGAAAATCCCAGTAACTGAGCAGATTGTGAAATACTCAGACTGGCCCGTCTGGCACCAACAACCATGCCACGCTCAAAATTGCTTAAATCACCTTTCTTTCCCATTCTGACATTCAGTTTGGAGTTTAGGAGATTGTCTTGACCAGGACCACACCTCTAAATGCATTGAGGCAACTGCCATGTGATTGGTTGATTAGATAATTGCATTAATGAGAAATTGAACAGGTGTTCCTAATAATCCTTTAGGTGAGTGTAAATGACAATTGTATGAATTATACAACAATGGATAAATGGAAAAGTTGTAGTTTCCACACACTTTCGGTTAAAGCCAAGCCAACATCAGTTCTGTCTGAATACAGATCATTTTGTCACTGCATATGTACCAGTATGGGCAGTGGGTATTCATGGAAACAATGCAGTAGAGCCCAGCTCTGTGCCTCTGTCTCATCTCTTTCCTCAGATTCAACCTGCTGAAGGCCCTACAGCCTAAGCACCGCTTGCAACAAATGCTGTCGTCTCCCACTGCATCCCCTGTGTGAGACTCTGTTTCAGTACCCTACAGTAGGGCATGACTGTGGTAGACAACACTGCTGCACTGGGCATTCACACGCCAATTTAACACCAGTTTATTACCTGATTCCACTGACGCTGATGTTGAGGATCTGAGAGGGCAGTTCTGATACTCTCTGGTCTTTGACAGAGGCTCAGAGGAAGTTAATAATCCGGGAATCAGTCCCATGCGTAGGCATTTTGGCTCTGACTGAATTGAAAATCTGAGACCTACAATGAATCTGATATATTCACAGTGATTCTAATGAGTGTGTGCGGCAATGCAGTGCACATAGTCACTACACCGCATTACCCGATTTTCCCTTAATAAGTCCATATCACTGGAAACATGATGGACGTACCTGGTCTGTCTAGCTACCCTAGCTGCTTTTCAGTTTCCCTTCCTTTCCTTGCTATCATTATTGATAGCAGAGTGCTCTTTTTTCTCTCTCTCTCACTCTCTCTTTCCTCAAGCATGCTTGCTTTGTATCAGCTGTTTCACTTTACTTGTATTTTCCCTGCTTTGCTCTCACCTTAACCATGACCTTGGCTTGCTTTCATGGTTAGGTAGTTCAGCTAACCTCTTACAGCCCACCAGTGGTGGTCCTGGTGGACAGTATAAAGTGACTTGTCACCGTAAATGTGCTGTTATGATTGGTCTATTTTTACATTTTAAATCTATTTTAAATTTATATTTGGACCAGTGTTGTTTGAGCATTATTAAAATATTAATGTATTTATTTATATTTAAATGTATTTTTATATTTATTTTATTTTTTGGTTTTAAGTTTTTCATCTAATATTTATATTTGAGTTATTTCAATTAACAAAAATGAAAATGACCATTTGATATACTTTTGCCAACTTAACTAATGCAAATGGACATTTATGAACTTGTTTTGTCTAATAATTATTGCAGATTTTTCTGTTTGATATTGCTTTTGATAGGATTTTTTAATCCTCTGCTGCAACTGTAGCTTTAAAAGGTGGTCAACTGAGTTAATGCTGATAACGATATTTACTCAAAACTCACTTACAAAATTGAAATGAAACTGACCAAATATCAGCTAATTAATTCCAGACTATCACTAGATTCTAAGTTATCCATCATGAACGCACCACTCTGCACCACTTAAAAGAATTGCTTTCTTTCCCACTTAAAAGAATTGCTTTCTTTCAATGCTGCTAACCTGCTTGTTCCCAAAAGAGAATGTTTCTGGGAGATTAAAAAGTCATTATGCTCTAAGCTACCCCATGATCCATTGTTCCAGAATTTGACAGGTGATTGTGTACTGTTTTGCCTCAGCTTTATGATTTTGGTAGGCTATGTGAGGTCAGCATAAAGCTTGAAACTGCATGTTGAGGAGGTCTTGAAAACAGTCATTTTTTTGTTTACATAATACCAGTAAAGATGAAGGAAACAGTGTAATTCTGTCAAAAATAATCTAGTAAGCCTTTGTACAATATGTCCAGCATGTCTTTTATTCTCTTAAGTGTGGCAAAGCGGCTCTAATCCTAGCCAGCCCTTTGCTAGTGTTTCTGACCAGAATTAATTATAACAAGCTCCCTTTTATCTATCTCGCTGTCTATGACTCAATTAATTAGTCAGACAATCTGTTAAATAAACTGTCAGATCTGCAACCTCATGTTTCATGGACATAAAAAAACAACTTTCATCTAAATGTTAATTTTAATTGGATGTTTTGAATGGACTTTAGAACGATGCCTACCCAGAGGTTGCTTTAACCAAATATATTGTACATTTTAATTATTTACAGTGTTATTATGAGTGTATCAAAAAGACCAAATCTGCATGTCTATGTATTTTTTCGGGAAACTGAGAGCATAATTGTTACAACCCAGTGCGTAAAAAAAAAGTGCTGCATAATGACTTTTTGCAACACAACCTCTACTTCTACCCAAATTCATCCCATATTTATAAGCACAGATTTCAAGAAAATGTCCACAGCTATTAAGGTGACCTTTAGGTGTGTGCTACCCTGTGTAATGATTCCATCTTGTTTGTGGGTCAGTTTTGACTATTGCAGGTTTATAGAGCTAGACTACACACCCATGGAGTCAGGCATTATGGTCTCTATGAGACAGAGCAGAGGATTTCTGACACCAAAGTCCCCGGAACGCCACTGTCGGTCAGCGCTCCATTATCCCTCTTTCTTTCATCAGTGCTGTCTCTTTCTCCTCCTTTTTTCTCTTAATATCTTCACTTTTCTTTGTTCTTTGTTGTGGCATTGTGTCAGCATGGACTCTTCAACCACTGCACAATATCCCTATAATATCCGACTTTTGATTTTATTGGGGGGTTTAAAGTTTTAATTGCATATGTGTGTCAAAGTTAAAGAGGATTTCATATTTGTGGTGTGCAAAGTAAATCTTTGCTCTCATCAGATCATCATGATGGAGCTGCTGTCAGTTTCTGCTATTCAGCTGCAAGATTCTTTCTCATGATTGATTCATGATTGATATTTATCATGATATGTGCAACAGCTTATAATACAACTGCTTGTATTACTTTGCAATTTGTGCCATTTTTTGTAGTTTTATGTGAGCTGGTTGTCTTTTTCTTTTTTACATCCATAAAAGGTGTTTTCTCCAAGACTGTATCTTTAGAGGCATGTTAGTCATTTTGTATCAGTGAGCATGTTTTGTTTTGTGTTTTGTGGAATTGTACTTTTTGTTTGTTCATTTAAGTGTGTATTTGTGCACTCTGTTTATATCTCGTCTTGGGTCCTCTTAAGTGGCTTTGAAGGTGACACTGAGTTTGTGATTCTGTTATGGCACAGACGAAGTCCAGCACCTGTCAGTAACCGCGATCCCTATGGAAATGCCTCTCTTAGCAGCAGTAGCAATTCAGGGTCATGCAAGGGCAGTGATGGAAGCCCAACCCATAGGTGAGACACAACTTACCCAGAGATCAATGATGCATTGCTCCTTTTCAAACGTCTTCTTTCTTGTTTGTTTAGATATTGTATTGTTTTTCTATATACCACTTTTCTCATTCATATCAGGCGTCACATGAAATACACCGCCTGCAATGATAACCATGGTATCCGGCCCCCTCCACCTGAGCAATATCTAACTCCACTGCAACAGAAAGAGGTGTGTATCAGACACCTGAGAGCACGGCTTAAAGAGACCATCGACAGACTGCAGGACAGGTAAGGCATGCATCATTCAAATGAGGACCAATGCACTAATGATCTTATCAGTCTATGATGAAATTAGTTTTTATCTTTTAGCAGCAGTTAATTAAACTGGTTCTTTTATTTGACATTGTTATCCAAATTTGCACTTGGTTGATAATTTCCAGACCATGTAACAATTACAAAGACTGATTTACCTATTCAAGTTGCTTATTTGTGTCTGATCATTTATTTCCCTCTAATGCAAGGCCTCTGAACTACATATTTATTACTTCTAAACTGTTTTTTTTAATGGCAGCCCCCATTTGTCTAATACCAATGATCATATAAGTGGTAATGCATTCTTAAAGCTGATGTGTGTAATGAGTTAATCACTTGAGCCATAAAGGCCACATGAGTAATTACTGTCGAGCCACAGAAAAATTCACAACAACAATGCTGATTGGCTGGCATCACAAGAACATGCAGTGGCAAACAGTGAATGGCGTTCAATGGAGAAAGTTGTTGTTGTTGTTGTTGTTGTTGTTGTTGTTGTTGTTGTTGTTGTTGTTGTTGTTGTTGTTGTTGTTGTTGTTGTTGTTGTTGTTGTTGTTGTTGTTGTTGTTGTTGTTGTTGTTGTTGTTGTTGTTTTGCACCATGCTAACCAGACAAACCTTGACCTCTGGCACTTTTCAAATAGGTTGGCACACTCCCCTTATGCCCCTGGTCAGACAAACATAGTCCCATTCCAAACTCACACAATTGATTAAGCCAGGATGTTAATGTGTTGGGCCGCTCTAACAGACCAGTGTTGAAACTGCCACAGAGCCATGTTGTTTACAATTTTCAAGAAAAGCCAACTATCTGTGACTGACATATAGTTGGCAAATTTAGATGAAGTTAGGATAGGACAAAGTATTTTTGGTTGCACTTTATTTTACAGCATGTGCACCTACGTGTACTTACAGTGAACTTACCAAAGAAAGTACTGGGTAATATAAGGTAACTACAGTGATTAATGGAAGGTTTAGGGGTAGCTTCAGGGTTAGTACCTAGTTATTGCAATTACTATAATAAGTACATACTGTAGTATGTACATGGGGAACAGGACTGTAAGATAAAATGCTACCATATTTTCAAATCAAACACATTTCACACAACAGATTGAATTTCAGATTTAATCTGCTGGTCACTACTTTTGTACATTTGTGCTTTCCTTTTCTCTTTTGACATCCTCTGTTTCTTTCTCACTTTTTCCACCTCCTTCCTTAGGGACACTGAGATTGATGAGTTGCGTACTCAGCTGTCTCGTATGCAAGAAGACTGGATTGAAGAGGAGTGCCACCGTGTAGAGGCCCAGCTGGCTCTAAAGGAGGCTCGCAGGGAGATCCAGCAGCTTAAACAGGTTGTAGATGTTGTCTCATCCAGTCTGGGAGACACCGACACTGGGGTGCAGAAGTGCTTCCAAGACATAAACCTCCAGAACCACAAGCTGGAGTCTTTATTGCAAAGCATGGAGCTGGCTCAGGTCGGGACCACCAAAGCAGGAGAACCCCTAGTGGGTGGAGGGGTGGTGGGGGCAGGGCTGGAGGTCAGCGAGGGCCTGGAGGAGTCTTCAGAAGGCTCCCCAGCTCGCTCGCTTACCCGCAGCTCTACCTACACCAAGCTGAGTGACCAGACCGGCCCGGAACGTGGGGGTAATGAGAACGGGTGTGACATTCCATGTTTGTCAGGCGAGGGCACACAGGACAGCGGGTTTGTTTGCTGCGGAGACAGTGGAAGAGGAGCCAGCAAGGCAGACCTGCTCCTGGAGGCTGCATTTCTGTCCCAAGAAACTGCTTCGCTGCTCAATGCGTACTCCCGCCTGCCACACTCCTCCACCTATGAGGCGCTGTGCAACAGTGAGACGGGAGTTGTACCACTCCTCTGCAGTGGGATCGGAATGGGGACCAGTGTTAGCGTAAGTAATCCATGTCTGTCACATCATCATTTATACCTGCACCACATGCGTGAGCAAGGCATTCAGACCGACCATTCTCCGGCTTCAGCGCCAGCACATGGCCCCAGTACATCTTTTACCTCTGATCTGGACACTATTGCTGAGCGTACCTTCCGCTCTCAGGCCTGCAGCCCGACCTCTACCTGGATGTCTGATGAGGGAGATGATCTGGAGTTGTTAGCTACAGAGTCAGCCATTACAGCAACAGTTGCCACAACTTCCATTGTCACTGATTTTTCCACTAAGTCTGCACCGGTTGTTGCAATGGAGCCTTGTGCACCAACTGCATCAGTTCCAAAAGGACCTGCATCTTTAGCGTTGATCCCCATGGAGTCCCCGGTCAAGGAGACTACTGTTTCAGAGTCTCTTACAGACTTGGCAATCACAACAACAGCTTTGACCACAGAGACCATTGGATCTCCAGTAACCAACTCTGTTCAACTTCAACTTCTAACAGACCCTTTGCCAAACCCTGGGACATCCCCTTGCTCTGTGCAGACTTTGGTCGAGACAGAAGAGGACACCCTTCCACAGACCACTCAGCCTCGTAGTGTACTTACAGAGGCTGGGATTGCAGGGGATAATGTAATCAATATAGGTTCAGATGATGAAGATGAGGTTGATGAGAGTGCTACAAACACAGATTCCAAGTCGCCTGGCTGCGGTTTACCTGTAAAGAATTACTGGAGCCGGCACTTCCTAGTGGATTTGCTTGCAGTGGTCGTGCCAGTGGTCCCCACAGTGGCATGGCTCTGTAGGGGTCCACACCGTGATGGTCAGCCAATGTACCATATTGGATCTCTGTTGCGGGGTTGCTGCACTGTGGCCCTCCATTCCCTGCGTCGAGGAGGTGGTCTTCGGCACTACCCCGCAGGAGGAGGTGGTCCAGGAGGAATGAATATATGAGACCCTCTCTTCTGTCTTGGGAAGCCCTGAAGCCAGTGATATCACAAGATGTGCAATAAGAGAGTGGTTAAAACTTCAAAATTAATTGAGGCAACCACTGGGAGCATAGTGTCTGAGCACAGCACCTTAATGCTGTGGTTCTTTATGGTCTATATTCAAAAGGAGATAAGAATGATGAAGAAGAATCACTACCATGTATTTACACCTACAAATAAGATGCTCATGAAGACTAGCGAGCTTTCACCTTTCTCCACAACTGCTACACGGCAAATAGGCAAGATTATGTGTTCTGAATTACTGACACAATGACTCAGCTTTGTGAGTGACACTAAAAGATCCCCTTTAATATGATTGTTACCCTTATTTCGAGTGAAGAGACGCAATAAGTGATGGGAAGGAACTGACCTTTTGTGCGTCACTCTCACTGTCACTGCGGAGGGTGTGTGTGCTCTATATGTGAGTTGATTTATCTGAGCGAGTGTTTTTGTTGTGTTAATGTACAGTGCAGCCAAAGTACCTGGATTACTAATGGCCATCATTGTTGTAGCCGTGAGTGCAGTAGTTAGCTGTCCCACTACTTTTGCCTGTGTGGCTCAGAGCAGTCATCTTTTCCCCTTAAGGAGCCAGGCAAGCGCCTTCTCATCTATTTATATGCTTTGCATATACAACTAGTGTCCTAGATAAATGCTGTCACAATGATATTTAGTCCATCTGGGGTCTTTTAGAAAATGTATTCTTTATTCTAGGCTCAAATAAGTGGGAAAGTTTGATGGTTTAGAAATGCTCTCTATGGTTGAATGCTAAATTGTGTGTTTAGGAAAAGGGCAACACATTTTAAGTAATAATATTAACAGTAAAAAGATTCAGCGTTTAGACAATGATCAGGGTTAAATGACTCTAATCGGGTCATGGGAGCTTTTTAACCAGAAATGAATTTTATGATTTTCTTTCACTGTGTGATTTTTTTTTTTCACTGTGTGACCATCAAAATACTGTCATAGCCAAATGTTTTTGGGATAAAATACTAAGCTTTAATAATAGGTGTAATGTTAATGTTCACTCTTGGTCTATATAATTAGCGATTTTGCTTTATTTACAGATTCAATCATAGGTTCGTTCTTACATAGGCCCACTAGAGCACGTACGCACCTGCGCACTCTTCAAAAATGATGCTTTAAATATCTTGACAAACTCAAAGACGTAAGTGACATTTGTATGTAGGGTATTCTAAATAAAAGACAGATAGTACTGAATGTCAGCTTGCTTATTTTGCTCAAGATAAGGATTTATTGAGTCCACATGTCATGCAAACAAGAAACTATGCTTCTAACAACAGCTCGAGAGCTGTCGTTCAAACCACACAACTTTGCGATGCTCTTTGTGAATGTTCCTTGGAACTATGGTTTCGGGAAACACTGACTCGTCGTTGAACTATGCTGATAACGACGGAACTCGCGACATTAGTTGGCTAACCATGCTTTTGGGAAACGCACCCTAGAGCGGGGCTCAATCTGGCTACAGCCACCATGTGAGTTGGGAGAGCTAAAAACAACACTATTAGCCTCTTGTGCACCTGTTGAGGTTTACCTGCAGAGGTCATACCAGCTGCCCTGCGTTCCACTATAAAAACTGAAATTAATTTCTCATTAAACCTTAATAAACATATTAGCTCACTGATTCTTGAGAGTCGGGACAAAACATGTCCCACAAAGAAAAGTCTAATTTATAGCAAAAATTAAGAAAGTCATCATGTATGACATACTTACAAAGTTAAATCTAAAGGAATTGTATATACCTATCTGATTTTTAGAATAAACTTTTTTATCTTTTTGGGGGAAAGTTGTTTAAATGTATGGTCTGTGGTTAGATGGTCCATGTTATTGCACTTGTCCTCAGCAAGAGGTTACAATATTAACCATCCCAAAAAACTTTTAAAAAAGCTCTACAATTGTGAAAACATATATATCAAATAAAAAATAAGGGGTATAAATATAAAAAACAATGCATGAAGTGAACATCAAACAATATTTTCCATAAATATCTGCCTATTAAAGTTGTGTCCTCAGTTTCTGTCAACTCCGTCAGATTTTTTCATAAAGCTCTTTAAATCAGGAAATAGCATGGTCAGCTATATCCTTGAGGACCCCTTTTCATCTCCCTGTCTGTGGTGAATGCAGCACTACCTCACATGCTCTGGTACGTTTTACATTTTTTTTTTTTTTTAGACAAACAATGTCAATATTCCTATGGTCACAGCTGCACCATGTCAATACCATCTTTCTGTTAAGATACTTTTTTTGAACCATAGTGGATTGAATTTAAGCATTTTAGTGAGGTTATTGGGACAGCTAGCAACTGAGGAAAAACTACCTAGATGCAGTGTACAATACATGTTTTGGCGGGAAAATACATGCCCTTACGTCAACTCCGTCAGACGTCAACTACGTCAGGTTCTATGTCTGACGGAGTTGACCTGTAAGCTGACGGAGTTGACAAATCCACCAATAACATCTTTATGTGCGAATATAATATTATTTGTGAATATAGTGAAGGGTTAAACTGTTATTTCAGGGTTTTATTTACACATAAATGCACATACATAGCATGCATTACATTATTTAACCATACACATGTCCGACGCCTGCTGCTCAAAGCATAAGCGCAGGTTAGACAAAAATGAAATCTTAAGTAAGCTAATTGAACCTGATTCTAAGCTACAGATTATGTGTTGCAGTATGTTGTCAAGGAATGTCAATTTAAGATCACACCCAGTATAAAGTAGGTAGTGCAGGGCAATCACACATCCAACACATCCAACATCCACACACATACGCGCACACACACACACACACCACTTTAAAGTAAATGGCTACTTACAAAGGAGGAAAGGAAGAGGAGAAGAGGTGGATGAGAAAAAGGAGAGCAGGAAGTGGTATAGGGGAGGGGGAGGAGGGCCCCTGGTGGCCCTTATTGTTTCTTTTTTGATAGTTGGAAACGGTGTAATTTATAATAGTTGGAAACGGTGTATGTGCTTATAGTTTGCTTTACAGTAAGTTCAATACTCTAATAACAAGGAGTAGTTTTAGTAGTAGTTTAAAGAGCACATCTGTTCAATAATCACAATGCACACATTTTTTGTCAACACCGTCAGTTTTTCATCAACACCGTCAGATCTTCATCAACAGCGTTGGATGTATGTTTTTGTTTTTGTTTATTTTTTGGGGGAAAAAATGTTCTTCCTTCAGTTAATGTTGTTTTTGTAATAAAGGACCATCTGATCTACATCATCTTATGTTTTATTTATTTAAGGAATTTGTTTTTACAATATTGAAATTAAAATCAAAGTTTGGAAATGCAAATATTTATAAATCTGAGTTTTCAGAATAGTGTGAAATCACAACTTAAGTTTATATATTGCATTTTTTTTTACATATCAGAGTAACTAAACACTATTACAATATGCTTCAGAAATTTAGATTCTTTTTGGATTGGAAGAATTAAAATTGTATACTTTTTAGTGTGTCTGACGGAGTTGACACAAATCCAGTTCTCAAGGGAAACATGTTTATTTGTTAAAAATGTGTTTTTATTTAGAACCTGTTCCTTTACATGGTTAAATAGCTAAGACCTTTCTCTGCAGAAACATACAACTCTAATTGATATAGTGTGTATTTTTAAAAAAAAGTTTTTTAAAACGTGTTTTGTCCCGACTCTCAAGAATCAGTGAGCTACGTCAATACCATATTAGCATAGCAACAACATGTTATTTCAGAAATACTATGTAATATAATTCCACTAAAAAGATCAAAGAAAGAAAAAATGCTTTGTATTGTTACTTGGTATGAAAAGAGGAATATAAAACTTGTTGAAAGTTAATTAAAAAAAAAAAATAGCATATTGAAACAAATCTGATTTTAAACCTCTTTTTTTCCAATCATTTGGCCATGACTGTGTTCATGTTGACCATTTATTTGACTGACACTAAGGTGATGTCGATTGCACTATAATTCACTTTATAAGCAATTACTTGAAGTAAACTTGATTGTGTGTTTCTGTCTGTCCAAAGGCCAATGCATACATGTGGATTTGTGGTTCAGTTAGATTTCACCAACACCACCATTTCAAAGAATCATCACTGATTTACAAATGTAATTAAATATTTATACTTTGTGTATGTGACAGCTGGATTGATTAGCCAGAAAACAGTGTACCAGATAATCACCCAGATGAACACTAATTGTAGTTATTTGCATCTCACATATCATCTTATCTTCTGTCCCTCTAAACCATTAATAGCCGCTGCCTTTCGGTCTACCTCCCCCTCTGATATTGTGTACAGTATATGTGGTTGGATATAGTCTTTATTTGTTGTCTGTTTGCAAAGTTCTCTTTCAAATAATTTGCTGCTTTCTGTTGTGCAGATTTTGTGCGGCATCTGTAAGGTTTCCAGCGCTTGATATTTATTCTGCTTGACAATCTTAATTTGTGCTTTATGTGGTGTCAAGTGCATACAGGTGTCTTTAATTTAGTCTAGTCCCTGCACTTTTTACCTCATTCCAACTAGGCGCTTATTAAATAACCTTACAATAGATTATAAGAAAAGAAGGCATATATGTTCCTGAATTTTTGTTTTGTTTTTTTAAACTATGAATGTGTGGTTTTCAGATAGTCGTCTTTTGGCCTAATGGAGTATGAGGTTAATGAGATTGTAATCAAGCGCTACTCCAAGAACAGGAGGTTTCCTCCAAACTGCTACTGTCTGTTTGTCAATGAAATGTACGTAAATAACTATTGCATTAGTTATTTGACCAGATAAATGTTTTACGCTGATGTAAAGCTTTGTATAACTGCTGAATTGACACACAAGGCCTTGATAAGATTTTCTTGAATTTTTTGAAGCCATATTACAAGCAGAGATGTGTATATTGGCCCTATATGCTGGTAAATTTGAGTAATAATATTTCTGTCATATTATAGAGTTATTTTATAAAAAAAAAAAACTTTTAAACAGCATTCAACACTCTTCTTTTGGCAGAAATAGGAGCTGTGTAAGTCTGTGCTGGAGATTTGTTGCAGCATCAGTTATTATTAAAAGTTTTTCTTTCTGCATTTGGATGGTAACTGATAATCACAGATTATTTGCTTTAAAGCTTCAGCACCATTAAGAAGTCTACCGATATTAATACATGTTAGTTTACTAATAAAGTATTTGTTAATTATCTTCCGAGGTTAACAGGCTTTCCAGCATTGTAAGTGTCCGTTTCTTTTTATCTCCTTCAAATATGGTTAGAAGACTTTAGTACCA